TTTGTTTAGTATTGTAGGAGTTTACCTTCACACTTAGGAAGAGATCAATAATCTGAAAGAGTGAAAATGAAGCGCTTTGTGGAGATCCCTGTACAGCCGGGCTAGGACAGGGTTGTGATTTGTTTGTTTTTAGCAGTTGCATAATGCTAGTTGGACCCCGTTCTCCTGATTTCTCATCCAGCCACTCTCAACTCATAAATATGCCATTATTCTGCACACTGGGTGAAAAAGAAAACCACTGCTCCTTGCGTCCTTGCCAATGTTGTGTGAAGGGACTGAGGGAGAGGACTGATTTTTATCGAAGTTGATGTTGAACTGAGTGTGCTGTTTGGTATCTGAGAGAGTGAAATCAAACAGTTGAAGCCAACGTGGATTCATTAATTAAAATGACAATTCATCAGTTGAGCGAAATGTGTCTGGTGTTACCATGGTGTCGAATTGGTTTAGCTGCAGCATTTATGTGTGTCTGACCTAGAGAAAGAAAGAGAGAGAGAAAAATCTGCTGGCAGTCAATTCAAATATGGACGAAAAAACGTATGTGTGAGTGTGAGCACGGCTTTGGAGATGGCTAAGATCTCCTTGATGGAAAAGAATGGTAATGACGTTAAAAGAGAGTAACAACTGATAATCTTTGAGGGATGAGCCAATATAAAAATCACACATTTGTGATAATTTGTGACAACCAATTCGAGTTTTAGACCTCGAGAGTGAGGACATTTCTGTAAAGTGAAGACATTTTCGGACAGACTTTCAGTGACCTGTTGGAGGGATCAGACTCGATTTTAAGGTTAGGTTAGGCATTTAGTTGTGATGATTAAGCTTACGGTAAGGCGCTAGGTAATTCATCATGTCAGTGAGTGTCCTCGTAGGTATAGAACGGCAGGTGTGTGTGTGTGTTTGTGTAGCTAGGGCTGGGTGATATGACGGAATGTACCAAGCAATGGTAGAAATTTGTCCACAGGTAAAGATTTGGCACTACTGTTTACAGCAGGAGCTAATCGAGGCAGGCTATGTAGCAAATCAGGACTGCATCAGCCCCAACAAAACGTAACAAAACATTTAAACAGAAACGGTGGTGAGTTGAACACCCTGTTGTGTTACGAAGGCACACTGCGTCTGAACATGGCAGGGTTTATTCCAGTTAAATTCAAAGGGGCTTTTTTGGCATGGGAAACATGTTACATTGCCACAGCAAGCATGCAATGAAAACAAAAATCGATGAAAAATAAATAAAGGCATAACAGAGTTTGGTGTATAGGCCACAACTTGTTGCTAACTGAGTAGACCTCTGACACACCCACCAAACAAGAGTAAACATACTTCAAAGCCCATTGCACACCAATTTGCGGAAACAGGTCGCTTAACCTGGAAACTGAAGCAAAACTGTGCACACCTTTTTCAGACTGGACATGCCCCAGTGCTGGATTCTTGCATGATCTGATTCTTGTGTCATCTCGCAAATCCAGCTACCTTGCAAATAGGGTTGCAGCATACCATAGTATGAAAATTGATGGTTATCATACCATTTACCAATGGTAATTTACCAAATTGGAGACTTTGTACGCATACTTCCATTTAATAAATTGTTTCAGGCTTCAATTACTTAAGCATTTGTTCAACCAAAATCAAAACCCTTCTGACTTTATTCCTTTAGGGGTCATTGTAACTGATAATAATTGTGTAATACCATATGCCAAGATGGTTATCGTACTGTGAAAATCTCATACCCTACTCACAAAGGTAATGTAATTTGGGCCAACATGAAGAAGGGGAATGGAGTTGAAAATACAGAAACCTGTAACACTTTAAGTGATTGTTCTCAGGAACCTTAAAGCCTCCATTTCCAGAAAATAATCAAATGTGATGTGCACTGTTTTTTATAACCATTTCCTAATTGAACTTACAGAGCATTTACTGTGTCCTATAAATATGTATGTAATGTTCCCCTGACCATAATGAAAGATTTTGGCCATATCATCCACCCCTAGTGTGTCCTAATGCTTATAAATATAGGGAGTGTGCAAAATATATAGCACACCTTACAGTGTGCTGTGGCCCAAATATAACATCAAAACTAAGGTCTGAAAAATGATGAGTTGAATCAACAGCTCTCTATTAAGTTTACAAATGGAGTGTCGATTGCAGGGCTATTGTATTCAGTTGCTGTATATTGCACTGTTCATTTGCCCATCCCTGTATCCTAAGACAATGTGAAGAAGTGTGAGTTGTCCAGCTGACATAATAACCTCCTGTGTAGAGTCAGAAGGCTGCTCCTTTCAAGCAGCATTACTCTGCTTCCAGAAAATGGAGCCAACAGTGCTTCAAAGTTTCTGAAACACATTAGCGAGCATTAATATGAGGCTTCATTTGTGATAATCGCTTCAGTAAACCTCTCCAGAGAGTATAAAATTTAACTCTTGGCTGTGTGTGTCATGGCTTCGGGTAATTCCTAAATGTTAATTTTTGCTGCGGGTATTAACACACATTACTTATCTATCACTGATCAAGGAAACTTATTAAAATAGGTGCTCGTTGTCAGTAGAGCATGCAGACTAGCTGAAGAGGTCATAGGTCCACTCCAGTCAATAAAGTCTCACTTGGAAGAGAATTTGTCAGGTAATGAGGGGGTTAAATCTAATAAAGAAGCCGGACGGCAGAGAAGCTAAAAAGGATCGAGCCAAGGAAGACAGATCCAGACAGTAAAATAAAGATACTTGCATATTTGTCTGGAGACTTGGTCCAGCATGTGGGTTCCTGCTGTTGCCTCTTTAGGGTCCAGCCAAGAAAGCGTGCAGTTTCAATCACAATAAGCCCAACGTCAGAGTCTCTGGCTCTGGGTGCTTCATGATGACAGTCATGGCCGTCTGTCAGGCCATATTTCAAAGTTCTCTAGCCTGATAGAGCCAAACACTCTCTGTATCTATAAAGATGTCTGTTTTCAATTGGACTTTGCTGTTAATCCACACATCCACCAATGTTTTTCTAAGATGTATTCTGAGAAAGAGACAAAAAAATAAGGCTTTAATTTATCTTCCACAGACAATACTAATAGCAAAACTACACCTATCTATCTGTCTATCGTAATATCTCTTGGTTGCGACAAGACTAGGCCACTCACCAAGTTTATTCCTGATATCTAATGAGATGGTGACACAAATTAATCGACTTTAGAGATCATTTTGGAAAAGCTCAGTTTTTGAGTGAGAAGAAAAACTGGTTTATCAGAGGTGGGAGTATGTCACACGTGCAAGTCTCAAGTCTTAACCTTCAAGTCTCAAGCAAGTCCCAAGTTACTGTGGTGAGAATCAAGCAAGATGAGTCCCTGCTAAAAGCCAAACAAGACAAGTCGAGTCAATGCTCAGGCCAAGTAACTCACGAGTCAGGTCATATGAAATTCTGGTGATCTGCTCAAACGTTAGGTTTCTAGTTAACATTTGACCAACCAACTAGCAAATCAACAAGTTAGCTAATAAGACATATTCTTGTACTTTTCTGTGTGGGTTTTGTAGTGACAAATCAAGGTGGGTGTTTTGGTCAGCTTCACTTATTTTTAAGTTAAAGACCTGCATACTGCTGTTCTCTTCTTGCTACCCTCATAAACGACTTAATCCTCCAATTTTTTAAAAATTTTTGGACTAACTCTCTCCGTGATAGCTGCTTTGTGCATTGGCATCTGCTGGTAGTAGTAGGTAGTAGTTCGTAGTATGTGAGGTAGTTGGTTGCCAGATTTGCACACGTTGCACTAAAAATCGATTAATCATGTTCAATTAACAACACATAACTTCTTGATATTTAGAAAAGTGCAGATATTTATTTATAAAGTCATCTGTCTTAAGTCTAAATCAAGTCTCAAGTCTTAAATATCAAGTCAACATCAAATGACATGCTTTGTGATCAGTTAATCTAAATTAATCGCATACATCAAGGTTTGCAGTTAAAGTATTTCAAAAATGTCAATTCAAATTAATTATGGCAGTGTGTCGTAGTAAACCTGCTGGACACAATTGTCCCCCTATCCTCTACCACCAAAATTGGTCTGCAGTAATCCATTTTGTAAGGGAGTTGGTTAGTCGGTCACAGGTAGACTTATTCAGTTTGCGTCTGAACACCCGGTCAAGTGTGGCTTGACGAGGCTGGTTGCTAATGCTAGCATCAGAAGCTATGCTAGCTTGGACCTCCAAGTTCATTGCTAAATGTTTTCCTTACTGCAGAAATTGCCGAGAACAATGCCCCTATCAACAGTTCCATCTGAGTGTTTCTAAATGTAAATGTTCCATTCACGGGGCCAAGCAGCATCTTTTCGTCTGCCTCCATTGTGTGACAAAGCCACTGTGGCCTTCAATGATGCACAGGATCAAAGGGCACCACAGAAATCAATGAACGCATTATTATTTCTGGTATTAATTAACCGAAATGAAAGCAGTATTTTGACAGTCCTTGTCTCTTGTCAGTGTTAGTCAAGCAAGTCTTAAGTCTGTCTTGAGTTAAGTGGAGTGACTCAAGTCTCCCACCTCAGTAAGGTTTATTAAGGAAGGGCTGAGATGTAACCAGCCTAACACTAGTTGTAGTTTTTTAAATGTAATTTAAGGCTGTGTGGAGCATATCTGTTCATGCAGTTACATTTAAAATGGCTTTCTGGCCACATCTCTGTGGGTGCTGTCGTTTTCCCACAAATGTCTTTTTAATTGCAGTATCTTCGAGGTCCTCACATAGCATCACTAAGAGTGCTTTGCCTATGTACTTCCTCACAATCTTGGGAAGTTTCATAAATTATGTTATTATGCGGACGTGTCCAAGACAATGGGAATAAAGAGAAATCTGTTCAGTGGACTTTCCCTTTCACTCTTTTAGCTCTCTCTCAACCTCTCATGCTTTTTGTTAATGCTCCGGTCCTTGTGAAAAAAAAGATAGCTTCCTCAGAAGCACCCAAGGTTGACTCACTTCCTCCTTTTGCTTTCTCTGTCTCTGACTCTCTGTCTCTCTCTCTCTGTCTGTCTTAGGTTTTTGGTGCTCCTCTTTAGAGTTTCCTGCTGTTACATGGTAACACAGAGCTGAAGGCAAGAGGTAAGGTGTTTTCTTTTTTTTTTTTTGGAGTGGAGTTAGTTGTAAAATAGGTAACGTGTTACAGTGAGGATCATTTCTTGTAAAGAGAGGACAGTGACAAAGACAGAGACTTTTCAGTTTTCACAGCATATCTCAAGTTCATGCCAGGGCATTTGGATGTTGCGGTTAGAGTGAAACAGCTGCTGGGAAGCATCTCATTCTCCTGTTGGAGGTGAGAATGGAGGCGCTAATGGGAGGCAAACAGCCCCTGGAGCCTCCACTTCAAAGAGCTGTTAAAGAGACATACACACCAGTAAATACCAGTTTGTCCCACTGTCTTTTGGCAGCACAACAAACACTGTGTGGAGCTTTAGCTCCCAGCATGCTCTGTTTGCCTATTTGCGTGTCTGTGTAATACAGGGTGGTACAGAAAGACAGTAGTGCACCCACAATGGGTGTCACAGAAAGAGGTGCTAGAAAAGGTTTTATGCTCTTCCTGTTGGGTTCCTCCTCCAATCAGCTGATAGTGTGAGTGCTGATGCTCTCTGCTGATGCCCTCATAGATAAAACATGTGGATGTTACTCATTTGAAAAGTACTTAATTGTCTATTGAAAATATGCTGTGACTTTGCCTTCATCCACATAGTTAGACAGTGATCTGAACGTTTAAACTGCTGCAAAGATGAGGCAGCATTTAGTGCACGTAGTGTCTCGTTTGTGAGTTTTCACCTCTTTGTGTCAGGTAGCAAAAGTGTCATCAACCAGCTAAGTGACATATTAACAGATTTGATTTAATTACACATTAGTTTCTTTATCAATTCGGGTAGGTGCAACATAATACACCCAAGAAGCATTTAGTTGTAGAAGAGGTTAAAGAGTATCTCCAACCTCTGTACCATTTAACCATACAGATGACTTTTGCCAGGCTATATGTCCATGTTGTGTTATGAGACTCAATATCATTTAGATATTGGATATCATAATATCTTAAGTGTTGTCTTTTCCTGGTTTTAAAGGCTGCATTACAGTAAGGTGATGTAATTTTCTGAACGTACCAGACTGTTCTAGCTGTTCTATTATTTGCCTACCCATTTAGTCATTATATGTATATTATATATATAGTATTTATCAAAAATCTCATTGTATGAATATTGTGTGAAAGCACCCTACAATATCATTGTGATGTCGCTATTGAAGTATTTGGTCAAAAATACTGTGATATCTGATAGGGCTTTACCTGACTTAGAATTATGTCAGTTGAATCAGATTTGGCTGTTCAGTATGAATGTTCGACTATACCTTCCATTTTGCCATATAGGGTTTGAGAGGTTTAACAGGGTTCGGTGGGATGTTCAGGCTGGCAGCAATGTTAAAGCAAGAGGCTTAAGTAAACAAGCCAAGGTAACCCTCCAAGCTAACATGCGCTAACTACGCTACAGTTTTTGCTGACACTGTATATCAAACAAAAGCCACAGAGTGTATCTTATTAAGTTGCCATAAGCTGTAAATTCACAAATTAAATTCAAATTAAATTCTAAGCAGAAGGTAGAAGATAACTTTATTTTGGAGCCTGACCAGGCAAAGCCTCTCCTCCTCCAGTTAGCTGCCTCCGTCTTACTGTCTTTGGGTCCACAGCTGCTTGTATTGGAGAGCAGCAAATCTGGGAATTGAAATGGGACCAGATGTACACTGCACATTGACTGACCAAAAAACAAACAAGTTGACTGAGGGGTCTCCAACTGATGATTGAAGCTTCAGCTGTTTGGGGACAGCCCTATTTCATTTTCCCCATATTGCCCAGCCCTACAGATTAATTTAATAATAATTTATTGTTTAAATAAAGATAAATTTCAGCTTTAAAGCTCTGATCTCCCAAAACTATTATGCAAACTTTTTATGCCTCAATGCCAGCAATGGCCAGAGGCATTATGTTTTCGGGGTTCCATCCACCCACCCATCCGTCTTATTCTCATTAACGCAATATTTTAAGTATGCTTTGAGTGAATTTCTAAATTTGGCACAAACATCCACTTAGACTCAGCTATGAACTGATTAGATTTTGGTGGTCAAAGATGAAAAGTCACGGTCACTGTGACCTCATCTGTCTCATTCTTGTAAACACGATATCTCAAGAACACCTTGAGGGATTTTTTTTTTTAATTTGGCACAAACATTCACATGGACCTTACGATGAACTTATTCCATTTTGGAGGTTAAAGGTCAAGGTCACTGTGATCTTTTGTCTGTCTCATTCCTATAAACAGAATTTATCAATAAAGCTTTGAGGGAGTTTCCTCAAATTTGGTACAAATATCCACTTGAACTCAAGAATGAACTGATTAGAGTTTGGTGGTGGAAGGTTAAAGGTCAAAGGTCACTGTGACCTCACAAAACATGTTTTTGGCTGTAACTCAAGAATTCATTTGCCAATTAACGGGAAATTTCACACTAATGTCCAATTGAATAAAATGACTAGGTGATGATATTTTATATCCTAAAGGTTGACTTCACTGTGACATCATAATGTTCTGCAAAAACACTTTTCTGGTCATTATTCAGCACCATATCTCAGAAACAGAAGGGGAGACATTTGATCAGACCCTGAATTGGTGACACTAATCTTAGGTGCCCACCTTGAAACTGTTCTTATTGTATAAATCCTCTGTGCTGTCAGGGGAAGATGAGCGTGAAGCATCCATGTTTCAACAGGCACGGATGTAAACTCAAAGTGCAACTTCACTGGTTCACAGAGGCATACAACCGCGAGGCGGTAATTGTAGTTGTCTAACATTGTGAACCAAGTTCTATGTGCATTTTGTTTGATCAGTACAGCCAAAGTTACTTTCACTGTCCCAGTTTTCACATCCCTTAAAATCACCTGCCAAGTGTGGTTGTTATAATTTCAGCTCGCAGTTTACTGAAGCCATCTGTCAGAATTTATGGATCAAAGCTTTAGTCTGCAGAGAGGTGAAACGCACATAGAACTACTTAACAGTATATGGTAGCAGCATTAATGTGCCTTCTTTCTGAAGTCTGTGCACTATACTCTTAAGTCTCCAACAAACTGAAAGGTCAAAGGTTGAAGTTCAGGTCATGTTTAGAGTGATATGAGTGCAGGAGCATTATCATAGGCCGACAGGATTAGTGTCTACAGGCGCAAATACCATAAGGAGTGGAATTATCTTTCTAAGCTCATCTTACCTAGACACACTTATAGTAGGCAGACATGCACGCATATAGGCACAGCTACAGTATGAGGGGTGATTTGTGCCCTGACCTGCACACACATGCACATGCTTTGCCTGGTGATCAGATGAGAGGAGGTGTTTGTGACAAGGATTTTGAGTTTTTTCATTAAATTGATTTATCCAGTCTAGCTCATGGCATCATTAGACGGCTAGCTGAAGGTCATTTGTGCAAGTCATGCGAGCCTCATAAATTTGAGAGAATTTTGTGCAGGATAGTGGCTTCCTGTTTTTAATGCAGTGTGTAAAATTACTGTTAAGCTAAATAACTGACTTGTTTTTTTCTTTTTTTTTCGAAGAGGAAATAAAAGTCTAGAATGGGAAATGTGAAGTTTGGCTGCAGCAGCCTGGCCTTGTGGGTATTTTGGATATTGTAAACTGAAGGTATGATTAGGGAAATACACGATAAAGATGCAATTTATGTTTGTGTCTATATTACATAGAGATTGATAAACAAAAACGCACCCACTGACATGCAGAACCACTGACACCACAAACACCTACAACCTACAAATACACACACACACACACACACACACACACATACGTACACCACAAACTTCCCGCGTACTCATATCGCACACTCTTTTACTGACAGTGACTGTGCCACTTTTGAGAAGGGTGAGTGGGTGTGTTGACTGGAAACACGTAGCAGTGACCCAACACACAAGTTCTCTAAACCAAGACACAGTAACACTCAACGTGGAGCTGTTGGCTCCACAGAGAAGGTTGTTTAAGCTCTCACTATGATCAGAGGAGAGACACACGACCAGCTCAACCACTAAGGCTTGGAGCCTTAGAGGGAAACCAGAAACATCTGTTTACTGTAGGTTTCATTTCACCAAATCTACTCTGAGCTGGTAGTTATATGGCAGGGAGTTTAGTTCAACTCAATGAGAATTTTGTCAGTTCACACTTTGGATTTCCTTTAAATTCAAAATATTGGTGATTTTTTTTTTTGGTGGTTTCTTTTTTGTTTTGGTTTAACACTTCTTAAAGCTAGACAGTTGAGTGTTTGCTCCACTGTCAAGCTTTTTGTTTTTGCTCCAGACATGCATATTAAAGTGAAAGTAATGGTCAATTTAGCACTTGAAATTTGTTATTTTTGAAAAAATGGGATCTTGATTTCACACAGAGGTAGATTAAACCATTCTTTTCATTTTTACCTGGCACTCATAGATTTTGCCAGCTGATATGAAAACTGTTGCTAACAGATCATTGCAGCTGTAGCCAGCTAGCTAATTAAGCTAACCCCAGAGCCATAAGTTTTTTTTAAATGTTGTCTTTGGCAGACTTTTTAATGTTTTCAGTGGACTCATTTTAAAACAGATTTTTATGCCTCCTTACCTCGGAGATATTAGATTTTGGGTTGTCGGTCTGTTTGTCCCATTTTGGTGGGTGTAATATCTCAAGAATGCCTCAAGGGAGTTTCTTTAATTTTGGCACACAAACGTCCACTTGGATGTAAGGATGAACTGGTACAATTTTAGTGGTCAAAGGTCAAAGGTCAAGGTCACAATGACTTCATATTTGTCTCATCCTTGTGAATGCAGTATCTCCAGAACACCTTGTGGGAATTTCTTAAAATTCGGCACCAACATCTATCTGTAATCTACAATGAAAAGATAAGATTTTGTTTTTGGCTATAACTCAAGGATTCATTTGCTAATAAATGCAGAATTTCACACAAATGTCCAATAGAATAAAATGATGAAGTGATTACATTTTGTATCCAAAAGGTCAAAGGTCAGCTTCACTGTGACATCATAATGTTCTGTAAAAACACATTACTGGTCATTATTCAACACCATGTCTCACAAACAGAAAGGGAGACATTTTATTGGGTACTGAATTGATAACACTAGTCATGGGTATCCACCACCTTGAAATCGTGCTGATTGTATAGCTCCTTTGTGCTGCAGGTTGAAGATGTGTGTAAAGCATCCATGTTTTAGTATTTTTAGCTTCTGTGCATTAACATCCATGTTTGAAGCATTGTCAGCTGTCATGACTACATATCCATCTAGACATACATGGATGTAAATTGTATCTGCAACCTGACTGGTTCACAGAGGCATGAAGCCATGTATATTTAATAAGTCTTACTATACACATGATGGCAATATGCATGATGTGATACTTAAAGACTGAGGCCAAAGCTGTACCAAGCAGAGTCAGTTTGTCCGAGCATGATAAAGAAACATGTAGTATCAGACTTATTTCATTGTAACATAGCCTTGTTTAGTTTCTTAACTGGTTGTCTGTATTTTCAAATATTATATTCACTTTTAAAGTTGCAAAAGAAGATCAGTGTGTTTGCAAGGTGTGTGTAAGCCAAGGTAGTGCAATCTCAAGTATAACGTTGGCTGGAGTTGCTGGAGTGTAAACTTACTCCAGTCTAATGAAGGTCAGGACAGAGCCGCTAACGTTACCCTGAACTCTTAAAGCATCCAGGACTGGCCACCATACACAGTTTACATAACCTGTAATCCTACACACTAATGTAGTTAGGTAATAATGTGCCCTTCTAGCTGAGAATGCTGCCACTTATGTTGTACCAGATAAACACACCTTTTAAACCATTCGACTTTTGCTCTTGCCCTTTTGTTTTGGAAAAGCTGAAAAAGGCATAACACTCCACACCCTTTAGATACCAAGCTTGCGCTTTTCTTTTAGCTGTGTCTCATGCTCTCTCATTGATAACTAGCCTCTTTTTTTGTCAACTTCAGGGTGTTGAAGATGGCAGTGTGGATCCAGGCCCAGCAGCTCCAGGGAGATGCTCTGCATCAGATGCAGTCTCTGTATGGTCAGCACTTCCCCATTGAGGTGCGACATTATCTGTCCCAGTGGATAGAGGGCCAGCTCTGGTGAGTTGCTCTGCAGCACACACAGAATGTGTGTGTGTGTGTGTGTATGTGTGTACAGTTATGACCCACATGTATGCCTGCACCAATGTTTGGACAGTTGGTTAGGGTTCATTTATTAACCATGTGCATATTTATGCATGTGTCTACGTTTTTTTGTATGTCATGCGTGCGTGCATGTATGCGTATGTTTGTGTGTGTTTATGTGTGTGTGTGTGTGTGTGTGTGTGTGTTGTTAGGGATGCCATAGACCTGGAGAACCCACAGGAGGAGTTCAAGGCCAAACGGCTGCTAGACAGTCTGATCCAAGAGCTGCAGAACAAGGCCGAGCACCAGGTGGGAGAGGACGGCTTCCTACTCAAAATCAAACTGGGACACTACGCCAGCCAGCTCAAGGTAAGCCTTACAGAAATATATCTCACTGGTCACGAGAGCCCATCTGATTTAGAGACTTACTGTGATGATATTTTATGTCCGAAAGGTCAAAGGTCAACTTCACTGCGACATAATATGTTAAGCAAAAACGCATAACTCAGGAACAGAAGGATAGGCATTTATTCAGATATTGAGTTGGTGACACTAAGTTTGGGTACCCGTTGAAACTGTGCTGATTGTAGTAGATCTCCTGTGCTGCGGGGTTGAAGATGTGTGTTCATGTTTTAGAAGTTGTAGCTTCTTTGCAGCAACATCCATAATTGAAGTTTTAATGGCCAAGGCTACACATGAGTCTGGACAGACATGGATGTAAATACTAACGTGACTGGTCGGCGTCTTTGTCTTAAAATTGACTTTGATACTTAATTTATGGCTGAAATGTCTTAAGAACAAAAAATACTTAAGCATGAAGAGCCTGCTGTCACTGCAATCAAAAACAACCTCAGAGGAATAATAAAATGAGATTGTTTTCAGCAAGACATTGTGAAAGGATGATGAGCAAGTGGTTGGAAGACACATGTGTTTGCTGTAATTCTTAGAAAGAACACGTAGTGCACGATATGTTTTAAGAACAGGTTGTATCCACCATGAGGAAAACAAGAGGACAGCCCAAGTGAGGGCCTTGGTAGCCAGCCAGCTCTGCTATTTATGATCGAGCTCCCTGCTCACAGATCTGTTCTTCTGTTTGTCTTCTCCCCTCCCTGAAACCAGCAGAGAAACAGGGTGAAGGGGGCTGGCTGTGCAACATCAAACTGCAATCCCAAATTCCTACCACTCTGCTTTCCCTTCTGTGACTGCGAGTGTACATGCACTGATGAAGTTGACTGTGATATGTGAATGGTGCTGTAAACTCAGCTTGCTTCAACTTTTAATGCAATGTCACTCTCCAACTCAAAACAGGAAACAACAAGAATATCACCAACTGACTCACAAGAGTAAACTGAAAGTGAAACCTCAATTTGTTACACTTCTCATCAGAAGAAAAAGTATTACTGAAAGATATTACTGTAACACATAAACCACTCAACTCTGGTGCGTGCGTCACAATGTGTGTGTATGCTAATGAATAATGTCTCTATATGAAGTGCACCGTGCTTCAGAGATGGGTCTCATTAGGCTCGTCTAATGGGTTTTAGTGTGTGCGCCGCATTGGCTCCAGAACTTAGCGAGCTTCCTTGATGCGACTAAATTGGTGAGTCCTGTGTGCGACGGCCGCTCCACTTGTCAGGGGCTAACAGGCCTTAACACGGCACATGTGCTCCTTGTCTTTCAGAGCACGTATGACCGCTGTCCTCTGGAGTTGGTCCGATGCATCAAACACATCCTCTACACAGAGCAGAGGCTTGTCAGAGAGGCCACCAATGTGAGTATGTTACAGAGTGTGATACAAAATACATGCTGACACCTGTATGCACACTTCTGCTTATTTGTCCACACACACAGACATCCCCACTGACATGTAAACTTGGATAGACAAACACCTGTGGCCTCTCCATGCATTATTCATTTCATAGCCTGTACAAAGCCTGAAAGCAAACAGAAGCTAAACTACATAATGGTGACTGATTCAGAGGATGGGTAATTTTGTAACTACTCTGTTTCCTCCATTTATCTTCCCAAGGGCTGCAAATTCCTTTACATTATTACGAATGCGATACCTACAGACACTCAAACCTCCACAATCATGCTGTAAAATAGCTTTGAAAAAGTAAACATTTTGTATTTCTCAACTGCAGCACTGCAGTATGAGGGGAGGGTAACTATTTCACGGTTTTAAAAAAGCACTGAGTTATAAAACCATAAAGCCAGCAGTGCGTAAAACATGTGACTCTCAGCAACTCCTGTGGTGAATTGATTTCCAGTCACAACATGCCTTTTCTATTAGTGGAATGCATATTTGGACTGATTGAATTTCACCGTGTTTAGTCTGAACCTTTAGGCACCATAGTGCTCTCAATCAGACCTTAACTGACCACTAGCGCCTGAGTGTGATAAGCAAATGCATTGCTTCCTTCTCTATTTGCAATGTTACCGTCAGGCTTGTGGTCACTGGGGATTTTACTGTCAGATAACCTAACTGCCACTTGCAGGGGTCTATAGATCAAGTCCAGCTCGGTTTCATACATCTGCTCCATCCCCCACAGTTATCCCCAGTACTCTGCTCTCAACTCACCAGTGTCCGGCCATTTCCCCTAACAACTATCATAAACAACCCAATGACAGACAATATAGAGGCGGCGCAACCTTACCAATTACTGTTCCCAAACCTGAAATTTCCTTCGTCTCTCTCTGTCTCTATCACAACTTTGTCTCTGACAGTCGAGCTCTCCAGTGGGTGGGATGATGGACAGCATGTCTCAGAAATACCAACAGATCAACCAAGCTTTTGAGGAGCTTCGGCTGCTGACCCAGGACACAGAGAATGATCTGCGCAAGCTCCAGCACAACCAGGAGTACTTCATCATTCAGTATCAGGAAAGCCTCCGCATCCAGGGTGAGACCAGACTTGCATCTAGTTATTGTTGCTTAAAAGTAATGCAAATGTTTTGGCTGTGAGGAGACGGAAAATTAATCATCAGCAGTTTTCATAATTAGTTATTCGACAGTCATTCATCACACATGCCAAACAGTTTCTGGGTCAAGCTTTTCAGATGTGTGGATTTGTTGCTCTTCTGTTTTGTTTCATTCTGAATGTATTATGTTTAAAGTTTGGACTGTAGTTTGAATTTTTCACTATTTTTCTAACATTTTGTGAACTGAAAATCATTGATGAAATGAACCGATGAATGAGATTAATCACAAGTCAAAATCCTGACCGGTTTGGAGTGCAGCTCAATTGAACTGGAGTGTTCTCAGCTGTGAAGTTACAGTGCTGCTTTATGCTGGATCAAAGTTATAAATGGTTTGAATCTAGTATATGTCAGAGCTTTTAACTATCAAGGCTTGAGGTTGTTTAAAAAAGATCCTTCCACAGTTCTTATACATATCACAGCTGTCTGAAATATTCTGGATCCTGTAGATCAGTAATGGAAAACAAACACTTGGAGCTTCCATAACCCAGCAACCTTTGCATATACAGTACGTTGCATCATTAACCCAGCTGTTATGACATCTGTGTTATGCTAGAGGAGGTTATCATTATTCCTCTTGGGTATACATGTATGTACACTGTATGTGCACAGGTTAAAGATTTTCACCTCCTTTCTCTTCTCCTCCCTTCCTCTCTAACTCGCCCTCACCCCTCCCCCATTTGGATGGCAACAACCCCACCCCGCCTCAGCTCAGCTGACCAGCCTGGCCACGCTGCCCCCTGCTGACCGACAGCTACGGGAGCCCACCCTTCTCAGCAAGAGAGCCACTGTGGAGGCATGGCTGACCAGAGAGGCCAACACACTACAGAAATACAGACTGGTAAGATGTGAACATGCACACTCGAAAAAAACCTCCTGTATGTGTAAGTGCTAATGTGTGACTCCTCTTCTCTGTTTATGTGCAGGACCTGGCAGAGAAGCACCAGAAAACACTGCAGCTGTTGAGGAAGCAGCAGACCATCATTCTGGATGACGAGCTGATCCAGTGGAAGAGACGGCAACAGCTGGCAGGCAACGGGGGCCCGCCAGAGGGAGGCCTGGACATCCTGCAGTCCTGGTGAGTTCTCTTCCACCTCCCACCAGGATCACAGCCACTGGACTCCCTCACAAAACAAAGGGTCACAGGTTTACAAGCTTTTAATTGACTACTGCTGAGTTTATTTACAAAGTTTACTGGCTCCTAATAACAGAGACATAGGCAGACCAGTCTGACATGTCTCTTTTTCAGGCTTTTAATCCCTTATTTTTAGACTGGCTGTGTTCACTTTGCTTTTTTTGGAGAATCCAGTCAGGAATTTCATAGTTGTTTTAAACTGTCTGGTTTCAATTTTAATTGCTAATGTTCTGCTCTAATAGAATCTTCTGTAGTACAAATGTCTGTAAGCAATGTAGAAACATAATATCTCTGACCATGTCTGTGCTCAAGCCTAAATTCATACTTGAGTGTGTCTGTGTGTGTGCCAGGTGCGAGAAGCTGGCAGAAACTATCTGGCAAAACAGGCAGCAGATTCGGAGGGCAGAGCACCTCAGACAACAGCTGCCCATCCCCGGCCCTATTGAAGAGCTGCTCAATGAACTCAACAGTACTATCACAGATATCATCTCAGCATTGGTCACAAGGTGTGTGTATGTTTTTTTAGGTTCATTTAGACTTCTAAAGACTGAATCTTGTCTAAAAAAGCTGATTTAATGCAAATCAGGGGGTGTTATGTGCATTTAGGCATCGCTTTTTCCTGCACTCAGTATGGGCTTTTATGCAAGCCAATCCAACTTAAGCAACCAAAGTTTTTCTGTGATCAAAAGAGTTGGAAATGTAATCTCTCACTAAAATTCAGTTACGCAGGCATTCAGTTCGTCCAACTAATGATTTAATCCACTCGAGTGAAGCCATAAACTATAGAGAATATTTGTATTTTCTTATTTCTGTTCTTAGTCTGTGAGAAAGAAGGAACATCTGCCAAAATGAGGACATTTTACTTCAGATATAATCTTGTAAAAGTTAGGATAAAGTTGTAATCCTCAAAATTAGTGCCCTGGATTAATAGGAGACACCTGTGGTTACTGGGGTAAGAGCAAGTGCAGTTTAATCTTCGTCAGAAATACAACCGAGCAACAAGTATATCTGTTTACAGTGCTACCAAACAAACTCAAATTGTTTTCATAATAAAGTCTGTCAGTTTCAACTGTGAGTAGTTTTCCCATACAACAGCAGAGCCTAACAGCTCACTGTGGCTGCTCTGTTTTCATCCAGTACCCTCTGCAATATGCATAATTGTTATGATCTCTCTCTTGTTCTCTTGTTTTGTCGAGGCATTTCCTGTGGCTGAGCCACAATTAAAGCCACCCCCTGTTTCACATGTTAAATGTTTCTAATGAGATGCAGCAGTAGGAAATGTTCAGTTTGCATTAATGATAACGTAATTCAGCTCTGATTTGGTGTAAAGAGAGTGAACAGTACACAATGAGGCACTTATTAATGAGATAAAATTGTACTTGTGCATGTGAAGACAATTATCATCCAGCACAGGAATGGCGGACTCCGCCACCGACAGTCAAAACTACCATATAGACTATATTAAGTGAAATTGTGTGTCCTGTCTGCATGTGTTTTTTATGATCAATTCTTAATTTATTAAAGGGAGAGGATGCACCATTACAATTATAAGAGATGTAAAACAATGTGTAATACAACAGTTTCTTTTGCCCACCCCCTCCTCCCCACCCCACCCCCCTGCTACCCAGGAATCCCATGACCATTATAGACATAAACCAACAGCATTTAGACAAAGGAATTAGATTATTATGCCAATTTCTTTCATTAGCCATGATGGTAACGACAGATAGCCAAGAGAATAAATATGTATTTACATAAAGTAAACAAAGAATGTACATGTATGTATGATATATGTAATATTATGAACAAGTAAACAAACAGGAACAATATATGAAAACATATCTGAAAAAGATAATTAACCAATAATTTAATAGAACACTTACTTTCCCTCAAGTAGCTTTGATTAGCAGATAATATTTTGTGGTTTTGCATAATGTAATCAGACTGTAGAAAGCTCCTGCTGTATGATATCTCAGTAAAAAGAGAGCCGTTCCCTCACTGACAGTGCATGTGGTGTTTTCATGCTACCATTCTTTTAGCAGCTGTTAGACCAGCTAACAAGAGGCACTTATGATCTGTAGTTGGTTCCAAAGAGGAGTTGTCATTAATAATAGCAGGCACTGTGAGAGGGGTATGGCCCTCTCAGTAATATTAGATATGGTACTTGAGACATTTCCCAAAATCTAATAACCTGCAGACACTGTCAGACCATATGTCCGCATGTGTTTAAGTCTGAGCCCTGTGCTGAGCCAAAGCAAAAGTCCGTCTGATGCCTCTGGTCAACTAGAGATCACATTTAACACATTACATCATCCAGCTCTAGTCAAAGCCCATCAGTACAGAATGAGACATGAACAGAGGAGGAGAGAAGAAGCCCTGATGTGACAGAAGACTCATGTGATCCCAGGAGGGAGAAGAAGAAGGAGATGAGAGAGAGTCAGGACTGAGTGCAAATGTGCCCAGAGGCAACGGATAGAAGTCAAATACACCTAAATAGACCTGCAGAGACAAAGAGTATGCAGTGTGCAAGAGTTTAAAAGAAAGCAAGAGCACATGCAACTCGTTAGAGTACATTCTTTTTGGCCCTGAAGGCACATCTGCCAGGGTCTTTGAGCCCTCCAGCATCTCTGAACAGGAAGTAATCTGAAGTTTTTGACAGTATCCTCTCCCACTTTTCTTGAGGATTGTCCCTGCAGGGATCCATAACACATTGAGAAGCCATGTCTCTGTCACAGCAATTTCTGATTGGCCACAGACAAGCCTGAGCCCACACAGTAATGCACTGAGGCCCCAGGAGGTTTCAGGCTGAGAATGGGAGAGTGTTGTCCTCTCATCGCCACTTAGTTCAGCTACAGACCAGCGCCCTGTTCTAGTTATCCAGATTAAAATGTTGATAATTTCTACATAAGTCTGGATTTTATGGTCCTTTGAAGCTACCTTAATTTAGTCTAGAACTGTTGTCATAGCAACAAGTCATTAAGCCCAAACCTGCAAAAGGGCAGGCCTATTGACAGTGAGCTGGATCATGACCCAGATGTTACAGCAAACTACATACATTGAGTCATTTTCAAATGGCTTGCTCTCTTAGATTTATAATTTAAGTGTTGTGTGAATATAATTTTACAAGAGAAAATGCCAGTTACTGAGAAACCATTACTAAACTAAATTTTCATAATGCAAAGTTACCCATACATATACAGTATGTGATAAACTATAAACAAATTAAAGGTCTGCATACACACAAAAAGATTCACTCCAAATGTTTTTAATTTTTTGGCATTAATTAGACATTAAAATTAAAATTTGTTATCGGATGCTAAACTTTATTAAAGGGCTAGTGTGTAGGATTTAGTGGCATTTAGTGGTGAGGTTGTAGAACTAAAACTTCTCCTATTTACCATGGTAGATGAACTATGGTGGTCAATGCAAAAAGTGAATGGCTTTATCCAGAGCTAGTGTTTGGTTTGTCTAATCTAATCTGGGCTACTGTAGAAACAGCATGGCTAACGGCGTGGGAGAAGACCAGCTCCGTATGTAGATATACAGTTAAACACAACACCAAAGTGAAAACATGGTTCAGCACAATGTAGAACAAACTGACTGCCATGACAATGCACACGTTCATATGTAAAATGAGTCTTCTGTCTATGGATCTATTGCCCTAGTGCATGGTGGGAAGGTACCCAACACCTACCTCACTGTAATCACATAATCAGGAATCAGCCAATCATATGAATGCAGACCATGCTTTCAAGTGTCTTTTGGTCTCAACTCATTTTGCCATTATCTTAAATTAGTAATGCATTATTTACATTAACTTCGTCCATGAATAACAAATCAAACTGCTTTCAAAAAAATTAAATTAAGTAGATGAGAATAAGCAGGATTATTATAGCCTAGTAACAGCATGTTAGTCTGCATTAGCTAAACTACATTTAAAGAACAGGACCCAAAGGCTTATGTTCTCAAATCTGCAGATCAGTAGAGCTGAAAGTAACTTTTTGAAGCTATCACTGTAAACAGTTAGTTTGCATTCAGCATTTCAAACCCAAATCATTGCACTTTAAGTCTAATTAGCATGTTGATGGCATGTAAACCTAATGACAAAATGTGTTAACTTTGCGCTTGCATCAGTTTGCAGCCCTCTACAGCCCTACAGCCATAATTGAGATCCAGCTTTGTTGTTACATGCTGATGCTAATGCTGGTATAATACATTCAAACACAACTTTGCTCTGAAGATCCAAAAAATAACTCTTTTTTTTTTTTTTTTTTTTTTTTACATGTTTTTGGCTTAATGCTTTTGGAGATTATGTGCAACAAATCTTTCCGACATATTGCACTTGGATTAACTGAGCCACCTAATCAGCTTTGTTCTGTCATTCAGTCTAACTCCTTTTTGTCTCCACAGCACCTTCATCATTGAAAAACAGCCTCCACAGGTGCTAAAAACCCAAACCAAGTTTGCCGCTACCATCCGCCTCCTAGTTGGGGGGAAATTGAATGTGCACATGAACCCCCCCCAGGTCAAAGCTACCATCATTAGCGAACAGCAAGCCAAGGCCCTGCTGAAGAACGAGAACACAAGGAAGTAAGTCCAGTGCCCCATAAATTTCAGTGTGGATTTGAATACAGAAAATGCCAGCAACAATTCCAAAAAACACAATTGGGTTTTTATGGAGGTTCAGATTTTAGCCATGTGGTTTATTTTGAATTTATACATAAAAATTATTTGTTTTAATGAGTTGCAAAGTATACACATTTTTTAGTATCCTGGTTTCATTTAGTGGGAACCCCACAGTGAGCTCCCACGGCGCCATTAAGATACAGATATTTAGTTTTCTACAGGGATTACTGGATCCCAGGATGAACTCTGGCCTAGTGTGTTTCCAGACCTCACCACAAAGACATGGCTGGAACTTTAACAATGCCTCAGAGGAATCTATGGTGTGGATGCAGAATCCACATTTAGCCTGTTCCCCAGCCTCGTTCTACATTCCTACTGACAAATAGAAACCTTCCAAGACTGTAGATCAGCCAGGCAGCCAGTGGCTATATGGGTGAGCAGTTCAACAGCTTAGCCATCATCTCCTGTTTCTCATCTAAACCCCAGTCCGCAGCCCAGAGACATCTGCCTGGTGTTTTGTTTGTCATGTAGTGAAGGTAGTGGTAGCTCAATCTTCCAGCTATAAAAAAAAGTGAGCATGAACATCATTCCTACACCTTGTGTGATTTTGACTCAGTTGCTGTCGTCCAAACGAGCATCATTTTGTCTTAATTTGTTCTGGGAAGAATATAATTCTCAGTACTTGAGTGTGTCAAGGCAGACGTTACAGCTAATTAACTCTCTCCCTGATTGTCTCTCTCTTTCAGTGACAGCAGTGGAGAAATTCTCAACAATAACTGTGTGATGGAGTACCACCAGACTACAGGCACTCTCAGCGCCCACTTCAGGAACATGGTAAGTGTTCCTAAAGTGAAGTTACTACATTGAGTTGACTATCTCAGTGTTCACAAATCTGTGGAAGAGCAGAGCTGACTCTGGCATGCAAGACATATTGTAGGTTGCTCTTTGGTGAGATGTGTTCAATCGCCATGTACATCAGTAGTATGGAAATCTGTGGCAAAAGTGGCTCTATGTTAGCTATGCCTCAAATAACATTTTCCTATAATAACTGTAAATATATATTTGGGGTGAAATAGTTTTACTTCTTGCTAAAGTGGTTCCAATTTTACTGGATTTTTAGATAAAAGTCATTATATTGAAATAACATTTAAAGGGCAGGTACATATGCTTTTTTTCTGTGTCTTTTAAATGGAAACTCCCACTCAGCCATCAGCAAAAAGTAGTGGTTTAGGCTAATGCTGATCCCCCCACTCCCCACACACACCTTTAGCTGACAGTGCAAGCATGAAGAGTGAGAAAAGTTTAACCTTTATTTAACCAGGTGAAGACACATTGAGATTAGATATAGTACTGCATTTGTATTGTATATTAGATCCATAGTTCATGTATTACCTACTGTAGATGCAGCTGGCATGCTCCCCAGTCTGGAAAAGGCAGACAGGAGGATATACAGTATATAGCCTACTGCAGATAGTTTGGTTCTGAAAGTCACACAGTAACACAAACTAACTAACCGATCAGCGGCTGTGGTAATTGGTAACTCCTTGTGTGTTCCCCCTTAAAAAAGGGAGCACCTATTAAAATCAACATCAGTTTAAGTGTACGTTATATTTAGATAATTTTACCTCTTTACCTTGCCATCAGACAGCCCTTTTTGAAGGGGGAACCAAATCCATTGTGCATGTTCTCCTTAAAGCCACCAGACTCCATTGACAGAAATAGCAATTTTACCTCACAGAACACAGGAGTTACTCGGTCATTTAGTTTGATCGTTATTGTGTGACTTTCAGAACCAAACTAACATGGCGTCCACAGCAGTACATGGGTTTATGTATATTGCAGCAACATAATGTAGAAACCCACATCAGGCCGTGTGGGAAAAAAGTTTTTAGAAGGGCTTGGGAAAATAGCATTTTGAGGCTAAAACATTCATATATTGACCAAAATCAGAATTTTCTGATTTTAATACACCAGGAACACTTAGAAAGGCCTCAAAAATAAGATAAATGAGCCCCCTTTGAATAAAATCTAAGGAGTTGAGCTGCACTTCAACACTCCTAATTGTCTAGTGACTGTGTGGTGTTGGTATAACAATGCAGTATGTATTGCACAAACTCATAGCAACTCAGTAGTGCTTTGGAGCATCAGTCTGCAGCTTCAGTGGAGTCTCTCTCTACATCACACGTTGTTAGCAACAATCCTCAGAGACATCCATAGACTATTAACATGTCAGCCCTGTAGTCTGACTCAAAGTTAATTATGCTTGCGTGCACTGTATGTATGATGTATGCAATGTCAGCCTATCTGTACCATATATGCACTACTGCTCATTCTTACACATTATCTTTCATGTAGTCTTTGAAGAGGATCAAGCGTTCGGACAGACGAGGAGCAGAATCTGTCACAGAAGAGAAGTTCACAATTCTGTTTGAGTCCCAGTTCAGTGTCGGAGGCAATGAGCTTGTCTTTCAAGTGAAGGTAAGAGGACACAGACAGAAGAGTTGGAAGAAAGGACTATATTATTTATATGGTTTAGATTTGCCATTTAAACCATTTACCATTCAAATACTACAAAAGTCATGTTGTTTCGCAGTATTTTTTGTCATTGCATTCATATAATGATGGTTTCCCCTCTTTTTCCAAACAGACGTTATCACTTCCGGTAGTGGTGATAGTTCATGGTAGCCAAGACAATAATGCCACAGCAACTGTGTTGTGGGACAACGCTTTTGCAGAGCCAGTGAGTAAATGTTCGTGTGTGTGTCTGTGTTCAAAATTTTATTTAGAGATGAATACATGGCAACTTTGGTAATTTTCAACCTGGACCCTATTTTCCCACATTTTTTGTGTCTAAGTGACTAATGGAGACAACAATTTTTGAAATTGCTCCAATAAGAGAGAGGACTGCAGCCAGTAGCTGCAAAATGAGCAGCAGTGTAACCACTTGGGGCATGTTGGCACTGTCAATGTGCATCCACTGAAAGTGTTTGTTTTGCCACTGACAGGCTGAAATTGTTATTATAAATTTCTGACTGCATTTAGGAAAGAACCCTGAGGCCTTGTTTCCACGGAGACGAGGCAATCAGAAGTCCATTCATTCCTATGAAAATCTCAGTTACATCCGATGTGCCCTGCGAAACTCCTCCCCTCTGTAATATTTCAGTTCTGAATTTGCTGCAAGTATATTTAAAAAATTGAAATTTTGCAGTGGATTTTGGAGCGACTGTATGACAGTTTGCTAGCTTAGCTAACAGGCTGCTAACTGGCTAACAGGCTAATTTCTTCAATTCAGTTGCCTGTGTTGATTGACAGTGAATTTGTATGATTAAAAAGAAGCTGATCTAGTTTTAACACATTGTGAATTTGAGTAATGTTATTCTGCTAAAATATGATAAATATTACATACAGTCAGATCATCATTATGACTCATTCAGCTGTTCATATGTCCTTTTGATTAAATATTTCACACAACATGCCACGTATTGAAATTCCTGTTTTTGTCCCGGAAATGTTCCAAGCATTCCAAACTACCGGATGGCAAAAAACGGACAAAATCAGCCTGTCCCCCATGGCTACAGGTAGTTTCTATCAAATTTCTAGCGGCATCATCCATATATTTTGCAGCTCTACGGGCACTATACATAAGTGGAAACGAGGCATCAGAGAAATAAAGAATTTTTCTTACCTTTCACTTGATCTGGTCTCTTTGTTATTGTATCTAACAACATCTCACTCAAGAAGTCTCATTCTGAAGTCAAAGAGTTTAGTTGTTGTAGGACAACAATGACAAAGAGACCGATTTAAGCAAAAAGTACAGAATTTGTTTTTCCTTTCCATAATGCTGACACCTAAAATAACAATCTGAGCCTGTCCACTTTTAGTGGACGTGCATTGACAGTGCGCAATTGCCTCTAGTGGTTACATTGCAGTCCGTTTCGCAGCTGCAGGGATGTGGCTTGGTACTGGACCAATTGTAAAAATGTTTTCCTCAGTTAGTCACTTAGACACAAAAACATGGGTAAAGGGGGTCCATGTTGAAAGACACCAAAGTTTCCCTTTAACCTTTAGTTGATTAAACAATTATAGAAATAATCAATAGTTGTTGCCCTTCATATAAAGATAAATGCATATGATAGTGATATTAATACTAATATCAATATCTGTACACTGTATGTTTTGTCTATCCACTTGAACTACTAACTACTTTATTTTCCTTTGATTTGGATCTGTTCACAAAAAAATGTAACCTTTGCAGAAACAATGATGCAATGTCAAGTCAAGTCAAGTTCAACTTTATTGTCATTTCCACATGCGGAGTACATGGGAATGCCTTCAGACATGTACAAGTACAAAAATATAAAGATAAAAAGATTTTTTTTAAAAATAATTTATATATATACATATATACATATATATATATATACATCACACATATATATGCATTTATACATGTGTACATATATACATATACAGGTAAAGCGCACATGCAAAATGTAGAATATAAGAGATGTATAATATAAGAGAGGACAGTTCCAGCAGAGCCCTGGACAAAGAGGCATCTGGTATTTAAAGTGCATAGCGGAATGAATGACCAGTTAAATAAATATGAATATGAGTAGAAGTGTTACATTAGAATACTGGTGACTATTGGATAAGAAATAACACTACTAATCTAATAAAAACACTACTTCTCTGGAGTAGTTACAAGTGCTTTTGTAATGCTTCCGGCTTTCTTACAGTGCAGACGGTCTGCTGCTTGCGCTCCGCTTTGCTTACATTCTTTTGTGGATATACTTGTTTTTTTTCTGCTAAAAGCTACAGAAAGTAGATTCTGGATACTTATAAAGCATTGGGACTTTCATTTGTGAAAGATACAGAGGACTACTGCCATATTTTCACCACTTTTTCACCACTTTAGTACTGTGTGAGCAGGGCTGAGGCACAGTGCAAGCCTTTTGCTGTGTCTGTGACTGGAAACCTGTGATTAGGACAAGGACAAGATGGCAAAATCTATGAGCTGCACAGAGTGTGAGCGACTAACCGAGATGATAATGCAGCTTCAAAAGAAGAATGAAACGCTACAACAAATTCGTGAGAGTGAGCAATTCATTGACTCTGTGGCAGCTAACATACAAGGTGCTGATGGACAGACTGGTGTATATGGAAATACAACAAATGTGGAGCATACCATCGCTGACTTGGCTGACACAATCCCATGGATATGTCCTAACACCACTGGATCAGCTGCAGAGGCTCCCAAACTGGCCTTCCCTAATGACCCTTCCTACTGGCACAGGACTGGTGCTCGACCAAAAGCATCAACTCCAGCTAGGACTTGGTCTGATGTCACTAGACGCAAAGGCAAATCCAGCAGGAAATCAGTCAAGAGAGCCCCAACGCTCACCCCTCCACTTGAACTCTCTCTACACAACAGGTATGATGCACTGGCTCCAAATGAAATATGTGACAATACCAACTACACTGAACCCAGGCAGGCCAAGGCTATCCAAAATGCAAGCAATAGCCCCAAAACCACTGCTAGACCCAGGGCCAGAAAAAACTATGCTAACTCCACACCTGAGAAGCCAAGGGCCAGGAGAAGTATCGCTAACACCACACCTGATCAGCCAGATACCATCCTGATCGGAGACTCAATAACCAAGCATGTAAGAATGGCAAAGACTGAAAATCTAACAGTGTCTGACACGTCTGTCAGGGAGCTAACCGAGCTGTTGCCAGTGATCCTCTCTACACACCCCAGTAACATGAGGATCATCATCCATGCTGGGTCTTTTGACATTCTACGAGGAAAAACTGGCTCTGAGATCCTGAAAAAAGACTTTTCCCTGCTCCTGGAGAAACTGAGTGACTGTCAGTCACAAAATGTGTTCATTTCTGGCCCCATTCCAACCCTGGGGAAAGGAATCGAGTCTTTTACCAGACTCCTTGCCCTGAATACATGGCTGACATCGGCATGCTTCACTCATGGGATAAAGTTTATTGACAATTTTAACATCTTTTGGAACTGTAAGGATCGCTTTCAGCGTGATGGGATTCATCCGAACATCACTGGATGCAGACTACTCGGGGCCAACCTACGTCATGCTCTTGGAAGGCCATACCAAAACAAGAATGGACAGATAAGAGCCAAGGACAAGTACGTGGCACAGAGACAGACAGCCTGCATCTCTCCCCCTTCACCTGACCCTTTGCTCCACATCACCCAAGGCATTCAGAGGATGTCTCTGTCCCAGTCAGGGATCCAACAACCCCCCTCCTGCCCTTCACCACAACCACCAAGGAGCCAACGTCACCCCCCCCCCGCACCGGCGCAACCACCAAGGAGCCAACGTCATGAGTCTTTTGAATATGTTGCACTGCGGTTGAGATCCTCCTGTCAAGCAGTATTAGTAACCATTTACAGGCCTCCAAAATATAGTGCACACTTTGTTGATGACTTTTCTAAACTATTGTCTGTTGTCTGTATTGATTTTGACTGTGTTGTTATAGTGGGTGATTTTAATATTCATATTGATAATCCCAAAGATGGCAGTGCGAAAGAACTTTTCTACATCCTGGACAACTTTGAACTTTCCCAGCATGTAACAGAGCCAACACACAATAAGGGGCATATTTTAGATCTAATTATCTCCAAAGGGCTCAACATTTCTGAGGTTGTGGTGACTGATGTTGCCTTTTCTGATCATTACTGTGTTTTTTTTAAAATGGCCATCTCCGCTGACACCAGTAAAAGTACAACAGGGGTAATCAGAAAACGCTATATCAACGAAAACACCTGTACACTATTCACCCAGGATTTTATACCCACACCAGCTGTGCCCTCAGTCTCTGTCAGTGATCTGGTTCATAGTTTCAGCTCTAAAGCTATGAATATTATGGACAATATTGCCCCCATGAAGGTCAAAGTTGTCCACCATGGAGGAACGCCACACAGGTAAAAGCTCAAAAAAGAGAATGCAGAAAAGCAGAACGCAGGTGGCGAAAAAACCAAACTCCAGGTTCATTATGACATCTATAAGGAAAGTCTGCACATCTATAGCTTGGAGCTAAAAATATTGCGGCAGTCCTTTTCTCTGAGATTATCAACAAAAATAACAACAATGCACAGACTTTATTTACTGTTGTTAACAGACTGACAAACCCATCAGCGTCAGTCCCTCCTGAACTGCTATCCACCAAGGCATGCAATGACTTTGCTTCTTTTTTCACAGACAAGATTTTAAAGATAAGACAGACAGTCTGTAACTCCAACACAGTGGCTATTTCACCTGTGCCTCTTAAGACTACTCCAGTTAATTTGGCACTTTTTCACCCATTAAATTATGCTACTTTGACAGACATAGTTAGAAACCTTAGGTCCACTACCTGCTGCCTTGACACTCTGCCTACAAGCTTTTTTAAAGATGTTTTTAACTGCATAGCATCAGATATACTACAGATAGTCAACTGTTCTCTTCAGTCAGGCCTTTTTCGAACGACCCTGAAGACTGCAGTCATTAAGCCTCTCTTAAAAAAGCCTAATCTGGATGCCTCAGTAATAAATAACTACAGGCCCATATCAAACCTACCATTTTTAGGAAAGATCATTGAAAAGGTTGTTTTTCAGCAACTTAACACCTTCTTGGAGCAAAACAATTCTTTTGATGCCTTTCAGTTTGGATTTCAAGCACATCACAGCACTGAGACTGCACTTGTAAAAGTTTTAAATGACATTCATCTGAGCAGTGATGCATCAAAGATTTCGGTTCTGGTATTACTGGACCTCAGTGCTGCATTCGACACAGTTGACCATAACATACTGCTCGACAGACTAGAAAAGTTTGTGGGACTTTCTGGCACTGTGCTAAATTGGTTTAAATCTTATTTACTTGGTAATTCACTTGGCAATTATGAATCTGTGCGAACAAAGATTACATGTGGAGTTCCTCAAGGGTCCATTCCTGGGCCTCTTCTGTTCAACATCTATATGCTCCCTCTTGCTCGGATTATGGAATATCATAACATCTCCTACCATACTTATGCAGATGACACACAACTTTACATAACAGTGTCACCAGATGACTACAGTCCCCTATATCTACTAAATAAGTGCATTGACGAAATCAATACGTGGATGTGCCAGAATTTTCTACAACTAAACACAGAAAAAACTGAGATAGTTGTTTTTGGCCCCAAAGAACAAAGATCAATAGTCAGTGCTCACCTTGACGCCATGACACTAAAACCTACAAATCAAGCCAGAAATCTTGGTGTAGTTCTGGACTCAGACCTAAATTTCAATAGTCACATTAAGACAATTACTAAATCAGCCTACTACCACCTTAAAAACATAGCAAGAATAAAAGAATTTCTGTCTAAACAAGATACAGAAAAACTTGTTCATGCTTTCATTTTCAGCAGGCTGGACTATTGTAACGGTGTCTTCACAGGCCTGAGTAAAAAATCAATCAGACAACTGCAGCTCGTCCAGAACGCTGCTGCCAGAGTCCTCACCAACACCAAGAGAGTGGAGCACATTACACCAGTGCTTAAGTCACTGCACTGGCTTCCTGTGTGTCAAAGGATAGACTTTAAAATCTTGTTACTTGTCTATAAAGCACTAAATGGTCTCGGGCCTAAATACATCTCTGATATACTTGTACGTTATGAAGCATCCAGACCCCTCAGATCATCTGGAACAGGTTTACTCAGTGTTCCCAGGATCAAAACCAAACAAGGTGAAGCAGCCTTTAGTTTCTATGCTCCCCGCCTGTGGAACAAACTTCCAGAATATCTGAGGTCGGCTGAAACTGTCAACTCATTTAAATCAGGGCTTAAAACATTACTATTTACTGCAGCTTACCAGTGAACTAGATATGTAACTTATTGTTAGGATAATCTGTAGCTATTGTTTTTATATTTGTCTGCTGTTGCTTTTGCTTTATGTTTGCTTTTTAAATGCATTTTCTGCACTGTTTTTCTTGCTTTTAGCTTTTGTTTTTAATGATCTATTGTTCCTTTAATGTTTTATCTTAACGTATTTCTCTTGTAAAGCACATTGAATTGCCTTGTGTATGAATGGTGCTATATAAATAAAATTGCCTTGCCTTGCCTTGCCTTTTGTTGATGTGCTCATGTTTGCACATTTTATATATGACCGTGTTTTGCATTCTGCCGCCACCCTTCTTTCATCTATAAAGCTCATGTAAATCCTCTGCATCCACAGGGACGGGTGCCTTTCCTCGTGCCAGATAAGGTGCTTTGGCCTCAGCTGTGTGATGCCATCAATATGAAGTACAAGGCTGAGGTGCAGAGTAACCGAGGCCTGTCTGAAGAGAACCTGGTCTTCCTGGCTCAAAAGGCCTTCAGCAGCTCTAGCAACAACCCCGACGACTACCGCAACATGACTATGACTTGGTCACAATTCAACAGGGTCAGCACCAGACTCTTTCCTTGTGATTCTCTCCCTTTTTTTACGCTATTATAGAGAAGATACTAATTATCTGATATCATCTGTGTTAATGTATGGAATTCACTCATAATTAGAGAAGGTTTTCTCCTCTTTGCATTTTAAAAATGCCTGCAGGCCAGTTTGCAGTAAGCCATTTCATTTGCATGCTTGTTCTCCATGGAGTGTAGTGCTTATTCATACATAGGAATATTTCGTGCTCCATTTGCAGTGCTCTACAGCCCTATTCTGTAATCGACTTGAGTGAGAGCGCCTCATTGGTGGCCAGGTCTTCATCTTAATGGGCCTGTTTGTCCACACAGTGAAAGGCTGGAGGCCTCATTTTCTGGCTCAAAGCAGCTGGCCATAGCAGAAAACACACTCACATTCACTACACACAATCACTCTCATTAGATTACAGGAACATCAAGTTTCAGCCGCCCCACGGACTGGTGTACGAGCTACACACATACACACAGTTTCACCCGCTCTTCTTTTTCTTCACACAACAACATACACACACACAGTTGCACACTTGGTTAAATCATAAACAACTGGGATGAGGACATGTTGTTCTCTGTTGTATTTATGGATTGGCTGCACATGAGGGGAAGTGAAAACCTTTTTAAAGATGTACAGATCCAGTGTGCTTTTTTTAAATGTTTTTTTTTTTTTTCCCCCAAAAACATTTTGCATGCAGGAAAGCTTGCCAGTGAGGAACTTCACATTTTGGCAGTGGTTTGATGGTGTGATGGAACTCACAAAAAAGCATCTCAAACCACACTGGAATGATGGGTAAGGAAGCTGCAGAGGTTTTTGTTAGTTTCTTTTTTTTTTTATTGAAAAATGTGTCAGAACCAAATAGTGAAAACAATAGCTTTTGGTTCAATTTGGAAGCTGGACTGCATGTTCTGTAAAAGTAAATGTTTCCTGTCCTAGTTTTGTCAGTCTTTACAGCTTAGGGCATTAGTTCACTTTCATTATTTTCCATGGCAACTTGGGGAGCTGGACCTGCTCTCCTCAGTTAACTAGGATTTAAAAGAAGGAGAGTGAAGGTGCGGCAATGACAGTTTTAATTATCTCTCTTCTCTTTTTTTAGAGCCATATTGGGCTTTGTGAACAAGCAGCAGGCCCAGGACATGTTGATGTCCAAACCCAATGGTACTTTCCTTCTGCGCTTTAGTGACTCTGAGATTGGAGGAATTACAATCGCCTGGGTGGCAGAAAATCCTAACAAAGCAGGTATGACATATAAATGCATGTGACTGTCACAGGTACTGGTAAAATGTTTTATTATAAGGTCCAGGGGATTTAATTACAGCCAAGCCTTATTGATTTAGCAGCTACTAACCAGCCACAACATACACTGAATGCCTTGCTTTCCATCATCAAAAAAGGATGCAGGCTTTAGGTGAAGCATTGTGGGCTTAATGCACTTTCCGTGGTTGCTCCTCTCATTACCCTGCAACATCACTCATCCAGCTACATGGTTGGAGCCGGACCTCTGCGTCCTTCTTTTGTTTACTGTGCACTGAGCTCACTGTTGGTGTCAGTCTGTTGAGGTTAACAAATTTAAACTAAACCAAGGTACTTCAAGGATGTAGGCTGTCATTCATTCCCCCCCCAAGGGTCTCAGTGAAAAGCTGCCCTTTGCATTCATCTAAGACCGTCTTCTTGAAGATTGGCAACTGATCAAAAAGGACAAAATGTGACCGTGACAGTTATAACAAGGTTGAGATTGCATCATTTTCAGACTTTCAAAAATTAGCATGAATCAAGGCAGGAATTTAAGTCAGATGCATTTTAAATCTCCTGTGATCTTTTTCTAAAATTAAAGCTGCATTAATTTATTTTTCTGACCACTCGGGGTCAGAAAGACAACCTGCAACAGACTTCACCAGTTCGGCCAGACGCATAACTCCAAATGAATGATCATGTTGCACTCGCAGTCCACCCCAAGAAATCTTGAGTGTCAGACACTTATTTTCCTGCATTATGGTGAATTATTTTTGTGCACATTTTTGTTATTTTCTGCATCAATTTATGGTGGAAATGTCATGGTACTTCCTGATTCAACCATGTGTACTTGTTTTTTCTCCTTTCTGTTTAATGGCAGACTACAGCTATTGCACCTACTTTACCAGAGGCATTGTTGGATTTATGAGTCTCCTCGTCAGAATGAAAACCGTCTGCTGCTTTCATTTGGAGGGGACAAAAGCATGTTTTCTATGTATGCCTAGAAATCTATGCCTATGATGCTAGACATCTTAATGCATACTTTTCTTTCACCGGTCAATCCAGCACTAGTACCAGTCTCGCATAGCCAGATCTAGGTATCTCCACACTTTGTTGTAGTGCTGTGCCAGCGCTGGAGAAAGCGGAAAGCAAAAGTGAAACCTGAGGCAAGCAGCGGTGGTGGTCGAGGTGGAGGCCACATCCATAATTTTTCACTGAGGGAGGAAAAGCAGATCTACTTTTCAGATTTTTCTTCAACTTTTTATTTGAGAAAACCTTGTTGAACAAACATTGATCATTCCAGACTATTTTAAAATGTCTCTGGAGGGGGACTTATTAGTAACCAATCTGAGGTTTAAGTTGAATTGGTGTAGCCACTTTCACAACATAACTTCTGCTATCTGTCATCTACTGATTATATTACTCTAATTGCTGATGCTGTGGTGTGGGTGCTGTGTTTCTCCAGGTGAGAGAATGGTCTGGAACCTCATGCCCTATACAACCAAAGACTTTTCCATTCGCTCTCTGGCTGACCGCATCAGCGATCTCAATCACCTCCTGTTCCTCTACCCCGACAGACCCAAGGATGAGGTTTTCTCCAAATATTACACCCCACCACTCTGTAAGCAACATTCTGTTTGCACAGGCTTTCTGTTACTTTCAAAATTTAACATCACAGCTTCAAATCCTTCATAGTGAACGGACGTATTGATTGCTGTGTGGCGAATTCACTGAGCCGTCATTCTCTCTCTCCCTGTGCTTGTTTGTTTTAAAGCCAAAGCAGTGGATGGCTACGTGAAACCACAAATCAAACAAGTGGTGCCCGAGTAAGTACCCAGCTTCCTGTTTGCCTTCCTCCTCTTCGTCCATTCCTGCTCTTTCTCTCCTTTCTTTCCTCCTTGCCGCCCACCCGCCAGTTTTTCCTCTGTGGCAACATTTAGAGTTAACGCAAACTGGACCCTGAATTCAAATCAGCAATTAGCTAGCTGTTACAGTTAGAGGAGGCCAATCAAGGATGGTCAGGGTTCCTGAGCGAGCTTGTCTTCCACTCATCATTAGAGTTAGGCTTGTTAGTTAATGCGCCCCGCTTCCTGCCTGTTTTCACGGCTGGTTCGCCCGCAGCACAGAGAATGGCCATAATGATGTAGCGAGGCCTGGAAAACACGCTGATGGTAGTTGCTTAGGCAACTGCTGAACATAGACTCATAGGCTTTTATCTTGGGTTTGTGTGTGTGTGTGTGTGTGTGTGTGTGTGTGTGTGTGTGTGTGTGTGTGCAGGTTTACTACAGCTAATCCAGACCCAGCAAGTGGGAATCCAACCTATATGGATCACGGAGCCTCCCCGGCACCTGTCAATCACCCTCACGCCTACGGCATATACCCACCTATGTGAGTCAACAAGTCCTCTGAAGCTATGAGCTGCTCTGTGTGTGTGAGCGTGTGTGTGTGTGTGTGTGTGTGCGCGTGTGCATTTTGTGTGAGTAAAAAGTGTCTTGTTGCTCCTGCTTGTTTTTTTTTTATTTGGTGATGTGCTGCCAGCTTGTCTGAGTGCAGTTTGGCTCCACTCTGTGTTCTGTGGCAGGAGTGACTCTATGTTGGATGCCGACGGAGACTTCGACCTGGACGACACCATGGACGTGGCGAGGCATGTAGAGGAGCTCCTTCGGCGGCCCGTAGAGAGCCAGTGGGGCGGCCAACAGTCCTGACCCTTGACCTTTTAACCCGTGACAACACCAAACAAACCCTGCCTCCTAACTTGCCCCAACTTGCATTGATATTTCTCATGGTTTAATTCCATTCATTTCTCTTTTTTTTCAGATAGCTATAATGTGAAATGTTAATAATGGTTGTGATTTTTTTTTTCTGTTCAGCATGAGAGCATGCATGTCAGTGACTTCTCTTAGTTTTATTTGTGTCCATAAGTGTTTGTAAAACAGACTAGGTATAATGCAAAACCTACAATGTTACAGTATTGTGTAAAAGAAAAGAAAAGAAAAGAAAAGGTAATGTTCATCCACACTGTGCATGCATTTCCAAATGATTTTGAACAGATTTAAAAAAATATATGCTACTGTATGAAGTCATTTCAACATCTGAATGTTTTTATTTTGTTATATTTTCCGCTTTGTAAATGGGTTATCAGTATTTTGATAGTGACATTGAACTTGCCCTATGAGAAGAAAAAAGAAACTTTTATTGAAAAGTTTTGCTTTTGCTCTTAACAACATAATCTGAGTCATTGCTCTGCAGAGTTACAATTTTTTTCAAATCCATATACACTAAAGACAGAGTGACTCTGTTTTCTCTCTGCAACTGACAGCACACACATCAGCACACGGTACACACGCGCAAGTGTACGATGCATTTGTTCTGATTTGTTCACCAGCTGAAACCCGGGAGGGGGGGTTCATGCACCTCCCTCGCTCTCACAGGGCTATTTGTCTTCTGTTTGTACACAGAAATGCAAATCTAAGCATTTACCCAGCGCTGCCTGCTTGTCCTTTCAGCTCCCTCTGTTCCCCTCATCAACGCTACCTCGCATTATTCTACTGACAGTCGTAGTTACTATTGGATCTGTTGTTGTTTCTGCACCACATTTACACCAGTTGGTACGGCCATTGGGTTTTTGTTCTTGTGATTTGTGTTAATGTGTGTGAAGAAGATATCCTCGCTGCCCGACGGCTAACTCTGTTGGCTGTTTTATGCTTGAAACGTGAAGACATGAAGTGTCAATGTCCAGCCCCTCCTCTGCCTATCCGTCCACTTCTCCCTGTAGTTGTGTCATGACACTGTGGCAAAACCAGCGTGTGTAAGTCACTGTGTGACGTGACCTCACCAGCAGCTGAAGTTGCAAGGCATAGACAGATAGATGCAGGCTTTGAATGCTTGCCAGACTCACCAGCCACCAGGCCACATGTAGAACTCAAGGATGTAGTGCAATGTCTGTCACTGTGTGTCCCCTTTTTGCTACACATAAAAGATGAACATAAGTACATGAGTGTATTAGAAAAGGTTGAGACTTAATGGTCCTACTCCCGCCACTCACACACACACACACACTCACACACACACACACACACACTCACTCAACCACACAATGCTGAATAGTAGAAAATGTGTCAACAGCCTTGCACCTCAGGAATGAATCGCTTTGCTTAGCTGATGTATAAGCCAAATAGAAATTGATCAGTGTGTACAGAGTATATGAATTTATTTTCTCTATCATAATTCTATTTTATTATTGTTTCTCTGGCACTCCCCCTACTGAATGTAAACCCTCTGCATGACCCTGTTGAGGATATATGTAAAAATACCTCCTCAGTCCGAGTTTCAAGTCTTGTATCACTAGACACACCAGTTGATAAGTACGCAGAGCAACTGGAATTCAGAGAATTTAGGATGTACTTTTGTGTTTGTCTGACAGACATTACAGTATTAAAGATATTCCTTCGACTATCTTTTCATTTCTTCCGCAACTTTCTTTTTTTTTTTTTGTATTTTGCTTTCTTTCCTGTTTTTGAAATCTCAAGCTACATGGGCCGTCTTGTGATATATCCTTCATTACCATTATTCTCATCATTTCTAAAGCTTTGTTCCACTGTAGACTGTGTATTTTATTTTTCTTTTGATGATGTAGATGGCGTTGTGTGCTGTTCGATGTATGTACCATGTTTGTGGTTTGGGTTTATCAGGTTTTCCAAGAGAAACAGCTGTTGAGTTGAAAAGAGGAAAATAAAGTTTTATAAATAATTTTAACTCAACTTGTAGAAGTCAGAAGATTTTGATGTCACTACAAAATAAATGCTATTTTTTTTATGTGTGCAGTCGACACCATCGATTTAATCCCCGAGCAGCAGAGCCAGAAGTCCAGAGGCTCACCTGGATTCAGCAGGAATGTGCAGAGAAGTATTGTGTGTAACTGTGTCATACATAGTAAATGAGGGAATCTTTGTATAGGCATGAATATTTAGGTGCAACTGTCCAAGAGCTTCTATACACTGCTGCATCATTAATATACTGCATCATGTGAAATTAGTTTCTCAGCAGTCAAGGGCTAAAGGATTTTATGTTTAAATGTATAACAAACTTTTTTCTTTTTTTTTTTTTTTACCAATACACTGTATTAGGGTTTCTGCATGATAAAAACTTGTGACTTTGGGTGGAACAAAATGTATTTCACAGGTGTTTCATGTGAGAGAGTCCCTCATTATGCAGAGAAAGGCTTCATCTAATTCCCTGAAGAGATCTACTTGACATGAAATCACTGCTTTTTCTTTTTACACAAAATAAATAGTAAATATAACTTGCATCATAATTGCAAACAACTACACAATTTACAGCAGGCGCATAGTGGATGAGGGGTACATGTCCCCAAAACATATATGCATACATATATACATACACACATGCACATATATGTACATACATGTGTACTTACATGTCAAGTAATTGCAATAAAACAACAAATTCCTTTGACATCAGCTCAAATTAAATATTTAATACACTAGCAGGATATTAATGAAAAAAGGCAAATCATAGTAAGTTACAATATCATAAAATAATCATAATTCGTAATCCCATGTGCTCCCATTATCTCCCATGTATTTATACTTGAGCTTTTTAGCTTACATTTTATTTTTCCTGCAAATAAATGTGTTTGAGAAATAAAATGAAGGAATTTAGAGACAGCTTTCCTTAGTATTGAATATATAAACTGTTCTAAGCAAAAAAGCAGTGTTCAATGATGTATTTTGATCATCTTCAAAACCCCTAAATAATATTTAGAAGGGATGAAGGTAAAAGGAGGGCTTCTTCACGTGACCAAACTTCAGCCTCTTCAACCTGCTTAACGTGTGTATACATATATATACAGTACAGGCCAAAAGTTTGGACACACCTTCTCATTCAATGCGTTTTCTTTATTTTCATGACTATTTACATTGTAGATTCTCACTGAAGGCATCAAAACTATGAATGAACACGTGGAGTCATGTACTTAACAAAAAAAGGTGAAATAACTGAAAACATGTTTTATATTCTAGTTTCTTCAAAATAGCCACCCTTTGCTCTGATTACTGCTTTGCACACTCTTGGCATTCTCTCCATGAGCTTCAAGAGGTAGTCACCTGAAATGGTTTTCCAACAGTCTTGAAGGAGTTCCCAGAGGTGTTTAGCACTTGTTGGCCCCTTTGCCTTCACTCTGCGGTCCAGCTCACCCCAAACCATCTCGATTGGGTTCAGGTCCGGTGACTGTGGAGGCCAGGTCATCTGCCGCAGCACTCCATCACTCTCCTTCTTGGTCAAATAGCCCTTACACAGCCTGGAGGTGTGTTTGGGGTCATTGTCCTGTTGAAAAATAAATGATCGTCCAACTAAACGCAAACCAGATGGGATGGCATGTCGCTGCAGGATGCTGTGGTAGCCATGCTGGTTCAGTGTGCCTTCAATTTTGAATAAATCCCCAACAGTGTCACCAGCAAAACACCCCCACACCATCACACCTCCTCCTCCATGCTTCACAGTGGGAACCAGGCATGTGGAATCCATCCGTTCACCTTTTCTGCGTCTCACAAAGACACGGCGGTTGGAACCAAAGATCTCAAATTTGGACTCATCAGACCAAAGCACAGATTTCCACTGGTCTAATGTCCATTCCTTGTGTTTCTTGGCCCAAACAAATCTCTTCTGCTTGTTGCCTCTCCTTAGCAGTGGTTTCCTAGCAGCTATTTGACCATGAAGGCCTGATTCGCGCAGTCTCCTCTTAACAGTTGTTCTAGAGATGGGTCTGCTGCTAGAACTCTGTGTGGCATTCATCTGGTCTCTGATCTGAGCTGCTGTTAACTTGCGATTTCTGAGGCTGGTGACTCGGATGAACTTATCCTCAGAAGCAAAGGTGACTGTTGGTCTTCCTTTCCTGGGTCGGTCCTCATGTGTGCCAGTTTGGTTGTAGCGCTTGATGGTTTTTGCGACTCCACTTGGGGACACATTTAAAGTTTTTGCAATTTTCCGGACTGACTGACCTTCATTTCTTAAAGTAATGATGGCCACTCGACCAGTGGAAATCTGTGCTTTGGTCTGATGAGTCCAAATTTGAGATCTTTGGTTCCAACCGCCGTGTCTTTGTGAGACGCAGAAAAGGTGAACGGATGGATTCCACATGCCTGGTTCCCACTGTGAAGCATGGAGGAGGAGGTGTGATGGTGTGGGGGTGTTTTGCTGGTGACACTGTTGGGGATTTATTCAAAATTGAAGGCACACTGAACCAGCATGGCTACCACAGCATCCTGCAGCGACATGCCATCCCATCCGGTTTGCGTTTAGTTGGACGATCATTTATTTTTCAACAGGACAATGACCCCAAACACACCTCCAGGCTGTGTAAGGGCTATTTGACCAAGAAGGAGAGTGATGGAGTGCTGCAGCAGATGACCTGGCCTCCACAGTCACCGGACCTGAACCCAATCGAGATGGTTTGGGGTGAGCTGGACCGCAGAGTGAAGGCAAAGGGGCCAACAAGTGCTAAACACCTCTGGGAACTCCTTCAAGACTGTTGGAAAACCATTTCAGGTGACTACCTCTTGAAGCTCATGGAGAGAATGCCAAGAGTGTGCAAAGCAGTAATCAGAGCAAAGGGTGGCTATTTTGAAGAAACTAGAATATAAAACATGTTTTCAGTTATTTCACCTTTTTTTGTTAAGTACATAACTCCACATGTGTTCATTCATAGTTTTGATGCCTTCAGTGAGAATCTACAATGTAAATAGTCATGAAAATAAAGAAAACGCATTGAATGAGAAGGTGTGTCCAAACTTTTGGCCTGTACTGTATATATAAGAATAAATTGGTCGTCTTTTCATCACTGCAGACTATTTTCTAAAGCATGCCATTGTTGTTAAGATTGTTTCTATTTTCAGTCCCTTGTTTGTTCTTACTTCTGTACAATATGATTATCAACTGCAGATTGTTCATAACAAGCAATAGGTTGAAAATTATTGATCCATCTAAATGAATTTAAGGCAGTGTTTTTAATTTAGGTATTTCAGTTGTAAAAGGGTATATGCAAGTGCAGTTGGTAACCTCTGACAGTTGAACCTTTACACTTGTTTGTTGAGTAGGGAGGTTTGTTTTGAGCCAATACAATAGCAAATTAATGCACCATTTCTCTCTGTGAAGCTCTTGGATGCTAATAAGTACATCTTCAGCTGCATTAACACAAAAAGATAAAGTTGGGGGGGGGTTCAATTAGATTGTTATACTGAATTTAAACGGTTGTACGAGGCTGGTGTTAAAACTAATGTGTATAAAAACAAAATGGTAAATGAGGCCAACGTTCAAAGTTTTATGTTCATTCAAATGTTGTTAGCCTTTGGCATGGACATAAGTGAGGGTAAGTACAGGAAGCCAGCTGGAAAGATATTGATTATGTGCATACTTGAGTTTTACCACATTATTTAAATACACCAAAGCACAGCCCACTGTGGCAGCACTGCTGTCTTGACCACAAATGCTTGGAATCAGCTCTTCTCTGCCATCTGGGGGATATAAGAAACATAACAGATTATTTATTTATGTGTGTGTGTATTTGAGCTGAAGCTTAAATGTTAATTGCCTGTCTTGTGTCATGCCTGGAAAAGACGATAAGAAAATCTAATTTGCATGAAATTCAATACAGTGTGACCAGTTATTGCTTAAATGATTTCCATTGTCAGGTCATACCTTTATAAATTCATTGACTGCTTTCCGAAGAGAAAAGCTAATTATTGTGGTTGATTATGTACTGTGTGCCTGTCGCTTCTTAATTATTTATACATTATTACAGGCTACTGTGTCAGAGGTGAAAATGTGTGCAGGTCAGTGATTATAATCCAGTGCAAAGGGCACCTAGAGGTCAGTGAAGGTTTGTTGTCTGGATACTAAACCTGCATCCATTACAAGGACTTTAAATGAGAGGTGTAGCGCCAGCACTGTGCATCTGAAGTGGTAATAGACTCATGGGGAGGTTTTCCTGCAGCAGCAGGTTTTGAAATAATGCACTTTAGAGTGGATGCCTCATAGGCATTACCATAATAAAGTACAGAATTACCAAAGCAGGTTTTACAGGCCAGTGTTCATAATTTAAGTTTAATAATTTAGATTGTATGCACATGAAGATATAGAATACTATAATGAATAACAAACACATAGAAATACTTTCTAACTAATATAGACAGAAGAATGCATGTTATATAGGGAGCAGGTCCTTGTCTATGGACATTGTCATGTTGCACCACCATGTTTCTACAGTAGCCCAAAATAGACAAACCAAGCACTTGCTCGAGACAGGGCCATTTGCATTTTTGTGTTGACCACTGTAAATAGCAGCTCTGTCGTGACAAGCACCATTGGAAAAACAATGACTTACTTTTTTTTTATGTGAAACTGCTTTATTCAGTGTATTTACCAGTTTAAATCACCAGGTCTCTTTGTTTCAAAGAGGAAGAGATCTCTGTGCATAATTCGCCTCCTGGTGAAAACCTCTTGGATGTCTGGATCTGAAGTTATCAGAGAAAAAAGATAAGTACACATTAGTAGGCGCTGGACTTGCAGCCAGTCGGCAGTGAGCAAAACAGCATCACAGAAACACAGATTTGTAATGTGAAAGTGATTTATTCAGTGTTTTTACTGGTTTAAAATCATCTGGTCTGTTTGTTTGGAAGACATAAGGACCACTGCGAATAATTCAACTCCCACTAAAAAAAACACCTAATCAATAAACACTGAA